GCTGCGCACCCCGGCCGGCCGGGGGCACGGGAGTGGGACCAGAGGCAGCGCTGGGGGCTGGCATGCAAGCCACGGCCTGAACTGGGGAGCCCGCAGCCGAGATGGGCAGGACCCCTGGGTACGTATGGAGCGTGATCATACACATCTGCAAAGCACTGGGACAGGAGCCCTGGCTGTAGTTGGCTCTGCACCGCTCCCTGGTGAGCTGCTGCCATGAGCCGACATGGGATGACCTCCTACTCCACTTTGGCCAGGTATTCCCTTCTTGAAGCAATGCCTTTTGCCAGATTTTGTGGCTCCTGGAGGCCTGTCCCACGCCCTGGGCGCCAGCACTGCATGGCAGAAGGTTTCCCTAAGCAATCCAGCTGCGTGGATCGCAGGGAGAGGCAGATGCAGTGCAACGGGATCTCCCTCCCCATACTGCGGTCCTCCATCAGTATGGACACAGGTGGTAGAAGATGGGGGGGTGAGGGGGGAGAATCATAGAATGGAATCACAGAGTGCTCTGGGTGGGAAGGGACCTCCAGGGGCCACCCAGCCCAGCCCCCGCAGCGAGCAGGGACACCTTCCCCTGGGTCGGGATGCCCAGAGCCGCGTCCAGCCTGGTTCCAGGGACGGGGCCCGACCGCCTCTCTGAGCAGCCAGGGCCAGGGGTTCACCACCCTCATGGCAAAAAATTTCTTCCATCTATCCAGTCTAAATCTGCCCTCCCTTAGTTTAAAGCCATTGCTCCTTGTCCTATCGCAGCAAGCCCTGCTGAAAATATTTTCCCCATCTTTCCTACCTGGAACACAGCTTCCTGCCGCAGAGCGCGGCCGCGGCGAGGGCAGGGCTGCCACCCCCACCCGCCCGGGAAAGCCTCTCCGCAGCTCCCCGCCTTAGTCCTCTTGAACCAAAAGCAAGGTTTCCAGCCTGGAAACTCCCACATCCGAGAGCTACCGGCCACACTGGCCGCTCGCCACGCTGCACGGGGAGCAGACGCAGCAACACTCCCGCCTCTCACATCCGCATCCCTCTGTGCGTGCCACGTCCCAGCAGGGTGGCCAAGAAGGGTCCAGTATCCATGCCAGGTGGACACAGGAGCACAGCAGGGCTCGGCCCTGTGAGGACACTGATATTTCCCTGGTGGAATAGGTCTGCTGGGATTAGTTCTAGCTGCGTGCCTGTTTATAGACTCTAGCTCTGCTTGCTGCCCGTATGGAAAAGATGACATCTGTGCTCCCTGCTGCGGTGGGATGGTGAGACTGGGAACAGGGTCCAGGGACCAGCTGAGGAAACGTTAAACCTCAGCGGGGCCCCTGCTGCAAGGGTAGCTCTGAAGATGCTCTCCTGCTCCATGTCAGATGCAACGGGTTGATGAGACACCGGCAACATCCACGCTGCTGTTAGCACACGAGCATCACTAGCTGTTATGTGGCAGTCTTCAAGGGCAGGGGACAGAAATCTGGGGACACACAGGCTGAGGATAGCGGTCATCTTTTTAATCAAAGGTCCTGCAGCCCCCCAGGCGTGGATGCCCCAGGTTTCAGGAGCTGCTCTCAGCACCGTAACACTACTCGCCTGTCCCTCGCTGCTGCCCTGCTATCCCCAAAGGGAGGGGAAGGCGTCTGGGTCCCGCAGCACGAACCTGAGAGACCTTGTAGGATCCCAGAGAGCGGGCAGAGGAAGGGATCGCTGCACCGGGTTAACCCACAGCCAGGCCCTGTTCTGCTGCCGTCCCTGGAGGGGACACTTGGGTCCAAATATACAACAGGGACACCCTCCGCAACCGCAGATTGGCAGGCAGGCTGGAGGTGATACTCCAGCATTTCACAGCAGAAGGATCAGGACAAGACCACATCTTCCTCCCATCATCTCCTGGGACGCAGGGGCAGATCCCACGCCAGTTCCCAAGGCCCAACCACCTTTTTAGCGTGCCAAACCCACCTACAAGTCTACAGCCGGCACCACCTCAGCGCATTGCACGGGATGTGCCACCTCCTGCCACCACTGTTTGGAGACTCCCTTGTCTTATGTTCCAACCTTGAACATCTGGAGATAGTCTGGGGGACTCAGCCTAGCCCTTCCCTGGTGTAGGGACAGACTGAGTCTTTGCGTGGGTGCTGGCCAAGGTCAGCCCCGACAGCCTGGACCGCCCCCGGTGTCCTGGGATGATCTGTGTTCCTTCAGCAGAACTAACTTCCAAGTCTGGAGAAAAGCAAAAAGCCTGCCACGGGGCTGCCACAGCCGGGCTGTTTGTGGAGAAATCCTACCGAGTGCTCACACAGCCCATGAACAGGACACGCCGGGCGCTGGGCCAGCGGAGAGCCAGGAAGCGGGGCGGGGGGGGCGAGGGAAGGGCTGGAACTCACTGCACAAGAAGCAGGACTTGTGGAAGCTGCTGCCTTCACATTGCACCTCCTCGGCGAAGTACACTGCCTTCTGGCACACGCCACACTTCTTCCCTCCTCCCCAGTTCGGCATCCTGCAGGAAAAGCACAGGCAGAAACGGCGTCAGGGCGGGGATGGGGCAGAGCGGGGCAGCCGGAGCGGGCACCGGCCAGCTGTGCTCCAGCTGCTGTTCCACATCTGCACACACAGAGACCACCCACGGATGTTTGCTGCTTGCACAGATGTGCAGGGCTGGTAATTAGCACAATTAGCAGAACTCAGGATGCCCACAGGACGCAGCGTTACAGCACCCAGCAGTACCAGCTGCCTCCTAGGGACCACTGGTCCTGCCAGCCAGGAGCAGCAGAAGTTCCCTGTGCTGGAAGCCGTGGGACCTCACAGCTCCTTTCTGCGCCAGGACAGGGGAGGAAGCAGGACAGCGATGGGAGACAGCGCTTACGGAGGTACCCACGGCACCGGCACCTCGTTAGATCACAGCCCTGCTATTACCCCTCGACAGGGCAACGCAGCAATGGCCAGAGTGACTGATCCTCGGCGCTGGAGAGCGTACTGGTTGTCACCTTCTCCCCAAACATCTCTTCCATTTCCGCCACCACAAGGCAGGGGTACAGCCAGGGCTGCCCAAAGGAGAGGAGCTGACCCCTGACACCACCAAACAGCGGGCTCCGGCGCTGTGTCCCCCATAGCATCACTAGCTCGGGCCTTGCCTGGTCCCCCCTGCACTCGGGCATCTCAGTCTCCCCAGGACTGCAGCTACGGTCACGGAGACTGGGAATCCAGCAGCCCCAGGGACACCGGCTCACGTGCAGGGCCAACCCCTGAGCACCAGCTGAAGCTACCATGCAGCTCCTTAGCAGCACATAAACGCTTCTGTTTCTTTCTCCTCCTTCCTCAAACGTGTCTGATGAGACATGATCAAGAGGCCCCTTGATCTGCAGATTTGCAGACAACCCCGAAATACTGTGAGCAGCAAACACAAGTAGCAGAGCTCCAACCCAGAGGGGCCTTGATGCTTTTGAAGACCAGGCCAACACAAGCCTCAAGACATTCAAGCAATAAAGTCCTACACAGAGATCCTGAAGGAGGCAGGCTGGCTGAGGGTGGCCAAGAGAAGACTAAGGAGGATCTAACAGCAACCCAGGGCTGCTACAAAGACAGCAAAATAAAACACTTCTTGGTGGTGCCCAGTGACAGAAGAAAGGTCAACGGGCACAAGCTGCAGCTTCACGTCCATCAACACGTCTGCAATTCTCCATCCTGCTCCCACGTGGGGATGAGCAGCAGAAGTCACCCCCCCCGTTGCAGACACAACCGTGTGCTTCCCGACTCCTGAACAGCAGCAGGGCAAGGTCCCCCAAACCGACCACCATTTTCAGATCACAGTGGGTGCCAGCCCACAGCACGTGCAGGATTTTGTCTCCTCCCTCGGCTCGGCTGCGTGGCTGCAAGGGAGGGGATCTGGGTCTGCCAGGGCACAGCAGCTCCGAATCCCGGGGTCACCTCGGGCGGCTGAAGCCCCATCTCTGGGTCTCCAACCCCCCACCCAACAGCTGGGCCAGGGGCACTGCCCTGCGTGGCAGGCAGGCGGGGAGGTGGGTGCCACAGCACCAGGGGCTGTACGAACATCGAACAGAGACGAGGGAGGACGGAGCGCTGCAAAGCCCAGCAAGATCTCTGTACCTTCCCATCCGTGGGAAAGCCGAGCTCCTTCCTGCGGAAGTGTTTTGCCGGGCAATGGCAGAGGGAAGCTGACCTCAGCGCGGTTACAACAGCGGGCAGGGCACCCAGCGCAGGGCACTGCCCGCTCCAGCCCAGCTGCGGCTCCCGGGCCTC